CATGGCAAAGGATACAATCACAGTGAGTAAGATTCTTTCGCAGTTGACAAATGTGCATCTATGACCAACGAGAATGTCATGGATTATGTCGATCGTGTCCGCACACTACGAGATCAATTGGAGAAGAGTGGTGGATACTTCCCTCGTGAGATGTATCTCACGGTCCTTCTTGCTGGACTTGGTCCCGAGTGGCGACAGACGCGCGCATTCTTGCGCATGAACCCGAATCTCTCCGAAGCCGAGATTTCCTCGTATCTCCAAGCAGAACAGCAAGATCTTGACCTGCAGTCACAACGCAATCAGAAAAAGGGGATACACTTAAGTTTTTACTCAAATCCAGCATCGCAGCAACGGCTTCCCCCGAAATATCCCTTCTGTCATTTCTGCAAGAAACCAGGACATACTTACCAAACTTGACGCAGTTGACATCAAAACTGTCGCAGTACTTCACAACCATATCATCGATCGCACCAGTTACCATGCAAGTCACATCCGCCAACGCAGCAGTCGACGTCACAGACGCAGCAGATGCAGAAACCACCACAGAATACACCTTCATCACAGCATCGTCCTCAAGTTTTTCCATCTGCAACATCAGGAAAAGGAGTTTTTGGATGTGTTATGACAGTTGATGTTTCAGATACAGATTTCGAGACACAACTTGAAGAAACCACCAGTGCAGAGGGCATTCCCTTACTGCAAGTTTACGCTAACCTTGCTCGAGTAATTTCAGGACCCAATACTTGGTATCTCGACAGCTATTGTGGTTGGCATATGTGCTCCACTGAAACAAGCTTCATCACCAATCAGCGTCCACTTCGACGTCCGATACCTGTCATAAGTGCAAACGGACAAACTATCATGGCCAGATCTATCGGAAGTGCAATGCTCTAGTCCGTCGACACGGGCTATTCCTTACATGTTACCAACGTCCTTATCGTTGCCGGCCTTGGTTTCAATCTTCTCTCCACAACTCAGCTCCTGGCACACAAGATTCGCACACAAGGCAATTGTGATACAATGGACCAAGAATTATGGCACAGTTTGACGAACACTTACCTCGGTCGCGCTGCTACTCAATATGGTGTATCCGTTCTTCAGTTCACGGCACAGGGCACCTCGGGCGATTCTGAACGCGTCCTCGCTCTCGGTCCCTGGGATCATCCCGAAGAAACAGATTATCAACAAGTTGATATTGATTTCCGTGCAACTACTGTACCCACGACTTCTCGAACTGCAGCTGCCGTTCTTACCGCTCTTGATACTTGGGAGTTCAATATCGCCGATGAAAGCGCCAACGCTTGGCGAACGTTTTATAACACTCGCGCCGCCTTCCAAGGAACTCCAGCTCCACGTTGGGGAGGAATCAGTGGACTTGCAGCTGATGAACCCGAAGTCGTCGAGGAAGACTCGAAAGCAGAAGTCGCCGAGCAGCCCAGTCTTCCAGTAGCTGTTGCATGACCATCTGCCACCACATCAACAAAAGCAGTATCAGATGTTGCAATTACAATTGCATCAGAACCGTCAAACGTTCAGTTACCACTTACTCGTTTCGTGGAAGGGGAGATCGACATGTCGCCAGCTCTTTCTCCTTTCATCATTTCTTCGTTTTATACTAACGCCGATTTCTATCTGCGATCATCAGGACACAGAGCCACAGAGGACATTTGGCATCCACGGTTAGGACATCCATCGCAAGGGATTTTAAATCATTCAATTCGAGCAGCAGTTCTTGATAAAAACAGTCTTCTCTTACCTGACGGCACGGAGCTGAAACCACAGTCTCGCCCAACGGTTTGCACTATGTGTCCGATCGCCAATCTTACCCACGACCCGTTTCCGAGTCATTTTCCTGGCTCCACTCGTTACAAACTAATACAAAAAGTCTACAGTGATAATTTCAACTTACATGATGCAGGACCTAAAGAGGAGCAGTATGTGATTACCTTTATCGAAGCATCTACTCGCTACGTTCGGACAGCCAACCTTCCTGCTCGTTATCTCGCCCATTCGGTCTTCGTCGCCTGGCTCGACGTCGCTGAAAGAGAGTCTGGAGCTAAACTGCAAGAATTTCAGAGTGATGGCGCAGGGGAATACACGAGCAACGCTTTCACAGACTACCTCCAAACCCTCATCATCAAATGGAAGCAGTCTCTGCCACATGCACACCAACAGATGGGGGTAGCAGAACGGATGAATCAAACTCTGTAGGAGAAGATGCGTGCTCTGCTGACGCAGGCAGCTCTTCCTCCTCGTTTTTGGCCTTATGCGATGGACCACGCCGTGCTGTTACACAACCTGCTGTCTTCCACATCACTGCCCGAGTTTTCTTCACCACACCTACAGTAGACACGTAGAGTGGGAAGTACAAAACACTTACGCATTTTTGGGTGTGTCATGCAGTTTCGACCTCCAACTGCAGCACTCGGCAAATTTTCTGAACGGGCAAAATGGGGGGTACACTTCGGCATCGAAAAACAGTATCACGCATGGAAGATTTTGGATCTTCGTTCAAACCACATCGTTCCTTCACGTGATTGTCTCTTCTATGAGCGACTCACCTTGCCAGTTTTTCGTGCCCACCAGGCAGCAGCTGCCAACCCTGCCAGGCTGTTTGAAGGTTCGCGTGCATTTGCAACCGACGAAGCCGAAGCTGATGTACAGGACGAGGCAGTTTCAGAAGCCTCCGAAGCTGCCGCAACAGACATACCCGAACCTGTCACGTCGTCTGGCATCCCGGAATTTATTCCCCTCGCTGATGCTGACCCGGACGATGTTCGCAAAGTCCACCTCAGTTACGAACGCGATCGTCAACAGTAGCCGATGCCAGCCATCTCCAACGAAGCACTCCGTGTTAGACCTGACAAAATTGGGGGGGAAGAAGGGTCAGAAGAAAATTTCGCAGGTGCAAACGGAGAACGTCCGCGTTTTACCGAAACTGATTTACAGATCCTTGGATTTGCAGTCGCAGTACAGTAAAACGACAGTAAAATACCTGAACCGAAAACAGTTCGACAAGCTCTTACGAGTCCTCACCGAGAAAAATGGCGCGAAGCCATGGACAGAGAGCTATCAGCTCTTAAGAGTCGCGGCACATGGGAGCTGATACCGAGGTAAAAGGAAGAAAGGTTCTTACCGGAAAGTGGGGCTTCCGCCTCAAGACTAATGCAGATGGATCGTTTGAGAAATTCAAGGCACGATGGGTCGTCCGCGGGTTCGAGCAGACTTTCGGTCTTGACTACGAGCTTACCTTCACCCCCGTCGGTCGGCATACGAGTGTTCGGATTTTACTCTGTGTCGCCGCCTGCCGCAATCTACGACTTCGCCAAATCGATGTGGTGAATGCTTTCCTCTACGCACCTGTCGACGCACTCATTTTGGTAGAGTACCCGCACTCGTACACAACTAACCCACCGAGCGTGTGTCTTCTCAGAAAATCGCTCTACGGTAATAAACAGGCACCTCGGCTCTGGCAGCAGTATCTGCATTCACAGCTTCTCACTGCTGGTTTTCGTCAACTACCGCATGATCAGGGAATGTATCTTCTAACTACTGGAAGCAACTATATTCTACTCGTTGCTTATGTCGACGATATCCTATACGTCAGTACGACTGAATCGCTCGCCAACACCTTCATACTGAAACTACAGAAAAACCTACAGCTCATCGTCTTTGAGTCAGTCTCACAGTTTCTCGGCCTAAACATTACCTGCTCACCGACATCCATTCATCTAACCGCCTCGAAGTATGCAGCTACGCTCACTGCCCGCTTCAACCTCACTCCTAACACAGTCACTACACCGTACCGTTCCTTACCGACAGATTACAAACCGAATACTACACCGTTGAGTCTATCCGATTTACAGACTTATCAACAGCAGTTAGGCTGTCTTCTCTTTGCCGCTGTTACTTGTCATCCAGATCTAGCCTATGCGGCCAGTCAACTTGCTTAATACCTACGCCGTCCTGAAGGGGGGCATCACCTTGATCCCCTATGCGCGCTTTAGTATTTCATATCGACTCCTGACGTCGGTTTAGTCTACAACGCCATCGGCTGCAAAACGTTATATCTCCATGGTTTCGTCGACGCCGATCACGCTGCCGATACTACTAATCGACGCTCGCGTACTGGATTCATCTACCGCCTTGAACCTATCGAGCCTATTTCTTGGAATTCGACGAAACAGGAGCTGATTGCTCTCTCCTCTGCTGAAGCTGAATTTATCGCTATTTGCACAGCAACACGCGAAGGACATTACCTGCAGGAACTATTGGAAGAAGCAAAATTGACAACGAGTACTCAATTTACTTTGCAGTGGGATAGCCGAAGTGCAATTCGCATTGCGCACCAACTTTCCAATGAGCTATGGCGTTTGGCGCACTGGGGGGTAATCTGCCCTAGGAGAAATTGACAGTCCTCAGAGTCACTATAATAGAAGCTTACAAGTTTAGAGACATGATGGAAAAGGCATTGAAGCATAGTTAGAAGGTGGGGTGGGAAGGGAAGGATGAAAGGGAAGGACCCTAGAGGCCCATGGTCAAGAACATGACAAGAGTCAAAGTCTTGACTCCCCATCCTGGGGTTCAGCCAGCCTGGCAAGACAAAATTCACACTGTGCCAGGTTGGTCTCCAAACCCCAAGTGCTGCAGCTGCAAGGTGGGGACAAAAGTCCCACACATGCTGGTCCCTCCTCGTTTTAGGGCTCTCCAACTTTGGTGTAGCAGCTGCCAAGGACTTCCAATGAGTTGTAACAAATCCATCAAACATTTCTTCGTAACTTCTTCATATGTGCTCCGATTCCAACAATTCTTGGCTCGTTGGAATGCGCTCGATCTGATGTACAATCCAAGCACATCTGCACAAGCACAAGATGAATATGCAAAGACATGCAAACCCAACAAACCACACAAACAACGTAGCACAAAAAACACATGCAACGAAATGATGCGAACAGACGACAGGATGACGTGCAAACGAATATGCACCAACACACTCCCCCTCAGACTGTCGGCTTGTTTCGCCGTCTCTAGTTCATGGACATTCCCGCCATTCTCGCACAGCGCCAGTGTGGCTCTTCAGCTAGCCGCTTGGTAAGGAAGTCGGCTGGCTGTTGCTGAGTTTTCACGTAAATCGGATCCAGTGTCCCAAGCTTCACCTCCTTCCGCAGCCAATGCCACTTGATCCTCATGTGCTTGTTCAACCCATGAAGAACTGCATTGCGTGCCATGGCAATGGCTCCCTTGCTGTCACTGATCAGAGGTGTCGCACAAGTCTGTTCATGGCCGATCTCCTTCAAGAGCCTCCTTAGCCAAATAATTTCTTTTGCCGCATGAAACATTGCCATGTACTCAGATTCCACTGAAGATAGTGCCGTTTCAGACTGCTTCTTGGACCTCCAACTTACAGGCCCACCTCCCACCATGCAGATGTATCCACCAACAGATGATGAATCCTCATGCTCAGAAGCCCATGTGGCATCAGCAAAACAGGAAAGGAACACCCTTCCTTCTCCGAGCTGCTCCCCCTTCTCTTGAAGGACTTCAACTCCTTTTTGCCTGAGTTGAGCAGAGGCTGAATACTGTACTCCCACTGTAGGGTATGACTTGAGGTAGCGCACCACTCTCTCCGCTGCACCACACTGCTCTTCTGTTGGATTTTGCACTACTCGAGCCAGCTGTCCCACAGCAAAGCTGATGTCAGGCCGAGTATGCACAGCAGCCTCCCGACCATGGATTGGAATTGCCTCTGGTCTTCACACTCAACTCCTTCTCCTTCAGCTGCCTTTATGAGTTTGAACTCGGAAGGCAAAGGTGTAACCACTTCCCGTTCTTCCTGCAGAGAGTACTTCTCAGCCAAGGTATTGATGTACTGTCCCTGATGCAGTTTGAGCCAGCCACGTTCAGTATCCCGCTCAATGTGCATTCCCAGGTAGTACCTTGCCTCTCCAAGTGACTTGCACTTGAACTGCTCTGTGAGCTTCCGCTGCACCCCATCGATCTCCTTGTCACTGCTGCTGAAGAGCAGGATGTCATCCACGTACACCAGCAGAAGCACAAGTGACTCCCCCTCTCCCATCAGGAATAGGCTCTCGTCGCATGCATTCGTACGGAATCCAATCCCTTCCAGTGCACTGGCCAGCCTGTTGTACCAGCATCTCGGGGCCTGCTTCAAGCCATAGATGGCCTTGTTAAGTTTGCAGACACGACCGGTTCCATCCTCATAGCCAGGTGGTTGAACCATGTACACCTCCTCTTCCACAATGCCGTACAGAAAAGCGGTTATGATGTCCATCTGCTTCACCTTCCATTTGCGCACAGCAGCTACCGCCAGCAGCACACGTAGCGTTGGAGACTTAGCAGTTGGGGCAAACACTTCTTTGTAATCTTCCTTCTCTTTCTGTTGAAACCCCTTTGCCACCAGCCTGCTCTTGTAAACTGATGGCTCTCCTTTCTCATCCGTCTTGATTTTTGCCAGCCACTTGCACTGTATTGCCTTCTTCCCATTTGGCAAGTACACCAGGTCCCATGTGTGATTCTCCATCTGGCTGTTGTACTCTGCATCTCTTGAAACAAGCCATTTCCCCCGTTGAGGCCCGGCTAGCGCATACTCCATGCTCGGAGGTTGTATTGGTGCGTAAAAGCAGTATGCAGGCTCTTCGTCATCTGACTCTTGGTCATCACCCAAGAACAGCAGTGCATCTTCGCCTTGAGCCTGTTCCTGCTGCTCTGTTGTGGCTCCTCCACTTGTAGAGTTCAGCAGCTTTCTTGTTGCCATTCTGGTACGTGCAGGGTAGATGGTTGGATTTACCCATTCTTTCACCTTCACCCAATCCTTTGTCCCCCCACCAATCTGTTTCCTTCGCTTTGGCAGACTTGGTGTTTTGGAAGCCTCTTGCTGCTGCTGCTCCGGATCCTTGACTTGAGCATCAGCTGCAATATCCTCATTGCTTCCTTCATCAGTACCGCTTGCCGTTGGCGCAGTGACTTTGCTGTCCTCAGGTTCGGACAAATCGAGGTGCATAGTGATCTCTTCCAGCTGCTGGGTGACCGTTGCCTCCGGCTGCTTCTCCCACTTGCCATACATGATGTTCTCCACAAATTTGACATCCCGACTGTCAAACAGCACATTCTTGGGTTGAGCTGCCTCCTTGGACTGAAGTATCACCTCCACCAGAGTCCTCCTTATCTCCCATCGTAATTTAGGTCCCAAATGCGTGATAATGGGCTCTGATACCACTTGTTGGTTAGAGAGGGCTAGAAGCAGATGATTCAATGGCTCCTTGGAAATTTCTGCAGCACTTCGTTATGACGCCCAGAAAACTCGCGACCTTCGAAAAGCTATATCCAAAACTCCAATCGATGAAACGATCTGAAAATCGGATATGTTGTAGCTTGCAGCGTCAGCTTTTCTCTAAAAGTTGAATCACTCGATTCCGTAGCTTATCGAGTGAGCTATGGCGTTTGGCGCACTGGGGGGTAATCTGCCCTAGGAGAAATTGACAGTCCTCAGAGTCACTATAATAGAAGCTTACAAGTTTAGAGACATGATGGAAAAGGCATTGAAGCATAGTTAGAAGGTGGGGTGGGAAGGGAAGGATGAAAGGGAAGGACCCTGGAGGCCCATGGTCAAGAACATGACAAGAGTCAAAGTCTTGACTCCCCATCCTGGGGTTCAGCCAGCCTGGCAAGACAAAATTCACACTGTGCCAGGTTGGTCTCCAAACCCCAAGTGCTGCAGCTGCAAGGTGGGGACAAAAGTCCCACACATGCTGGTCCCTCCTCGTTTTAGGGCTCTCCAACTTTGGTGTAGCAGCTGCCAAGGACTTCCAATGAGTTGTAACAAATCCATCAAACATTTCTTCGTAACTTCTTCATATGTGCTCCGATTCCAACAATTCTTGGCTCGTTGGAATGCGCTCGATCTGATGTACAATTCAAGCACATCTGCACAAGCACAAGATGAATATGCAAAGACATGCAAACCCAACAAACCCCACAAACAACGTAGCACAAAAAACACATGCAACGAAATGATGCGAACAGACGACAGGATGACGTGCAAACGAATATGCACCAACAAATTTTTCGTCAAGGATGAAGTTGAGAAGGGTAGGATGCGATTGGTCTACTATTCGACCAACGAAATGGCTGCCGACTTCTGTTATAGTCACAATAGGCTCAGATGTGCCTAAAATGAGAGAAATTGTGCACAGTCAGAGTTCTGTCAGACAGCTTCAAATATTGATGCCGATCTGATGTATGCCTCAAACGGTGATCCGTAAATTGGATCTGGAGCGCGTTGCTGTCCCCTATCAGCAGCAAGTTGAATCATAAAATTCGATGAAGATTTGACGACGCTATGGCGGTTTGACTGGCAGGAGGTATAGCAGCCACTATAGTCTTAGGAGTACAAAAACTTAGGAAGAAGAATTCGAGAGGGAGATGGTTCCCAGCCTCTACATACCCCAAGAGCCGAGGTCCAGGATGGTGGTACACCAACATTGAGTCCCCAACCATGAAGAGTCTCGAATCCAACCCTCCAAGGGGCTACACCAAGTGAAATGTAACACTACTCGAAGTAGCGTTACTATTTTCACTATTTAATATTTATCCGCTTCCCTTGGGCTTGAAATCTTGAGCTCTTGGTCTTGGATCTGCAAGATAAATTCTTCTTGAGTTGATGGGGGCTTGCTGCACACACCTGCGACACGATGGACACTTCACACTCGACAAAATAGAAATAACACATGCGACACGCAAACGACGACTTGACATGCGAGTTGTAAAAACTCGCTAATGTCTTGACCGACACAAACCACATTGTGATACACCATTCTAACAGACACACAATCACTGGATAGCAATGACATAGACTCACAATTCATTCCATGCCATGCATGCACACACACAAACAAGGACGACAAGCCGAGTCCAAGCCATAGGGTTGCACCAACAAACTCCCCCTCGGATTGTTGGCCTTAGAATCTGCTCCCCTTAGTTCAGAGCCATCCCAGCAAGCTTGCAACACTTCCAATGCTGCTGCTCAACCAGCCTCTTGGTCATCATATCAGCAGGCTGCGCCGTCGTCTTCACGTAGTGCAACTCCACTTCACCCGCGGTTACCATGCTCCTCACCCAATGCCACTTCACCTTCATGTGCTTGGTAAGGCCATGAAGGACGGGGTTCTTAGCCAATGCAATAGCACCCTGGCTATCACAGTAGAGTGGGGTAGGTCCTTGCTGCTCCTCCCCCAATTCAGCTAGCAAACGCCGCTGCCACACAACCTCTCTTATGGCACGGAACAGTGCCATGTACTCGGACTCCACCGAGCTCAATGCTTGGTCCACTTGTTTCTTGCTCTCCCAAGCTGTTGGGCCTCCACCAACACAGCAGATGAAGCCTCCCACACTTGTCATGTCCTCTGGTTCTGATGCCCAAGATGCATCAGAGAAGGCGGTGAGAAAGAGCCTCCCGGGTTCGACTCCATCCGCACCCTTTTGACGCCTTTGTGCCGCCGCGGAGTATTGCAGTCCAACAGTTGCTGTTTGGCCAAGGTACTTGGCCACCCTCTCTCCAGCTGCTACCTGCTCTTCATTAGGGCATTGGACAACCCTAGCCAGCTGCCCGGTAGCAAAGGCTGCATCCGGCCTTGTGTGAACGGCCGCATACATGAGGCTGCCCACCAAGGAGTGAAAACGACGCCTCTCCTCTTCACCAACACTTTCCTCCGCTAGTCCTTTCACACACTTGAACCCTGAGGGAAGAGGAGTAGCCACATGACCTTCAATCTTCCCAAAGTTTGCAGCCAAGGCCTCCACGTACTTCTTTTGATGCACTCGCATCCACCGCTTCTCCACATCTCGCTCAATGTGAAGCCTAAGGTAGTAGTTGACGTCACCAAGGGTCTTGCACTTGAACTTGTCTTGAAGCTTCAGCATAACCTTCTTCACAAGGTCAAAGAAAGGTGAGAAAATGAGGATGTCATCCACATAAACCACCATGAAGCTCCTCTGCTCCCCCTCGCCAAGCATGAACAAGGATTGATCGGCCGTTGAGGGAGTGAAGCCGATCGCTTCCAAGACTTCCCGCAGCTTGATGTACCATTGCCTAGGGGCTTGCTTGAGGCCATAGAGTGCTTTCTTTCAGCTTCCACACTCTGCCACTCCCATCATTGTACCCCTCTGGCTGCTCCATGTAGGTCTCTTCCTCCAAAACGCCGTTGAGGAAGGCCGTTACTATATCCATTTGCTTCACCACCCATCCTTTGATGGCCGCCGCGGCGAAGAGGGTTCGAAGGGTTGTATCCTTCACCACAGGGGCATACACTTCATTGTAGTCCTTCTTCTCTTGCTGCTGATACCCCTTGGCTACAAGTCTGCTCTTGTAGCGCTCAATGTTGCCGTCGGCGTCGGTCTTGCACTTGAAGAGCCACTTGGAAGAGATCGCCTTCCGCCCCGGAGATAGGTTCACCAAGTCAAATGTGTCGTTCTCTATGATGCTCCCCATTTCTTCATCTGAGGCCTTCTTCCACTCCTTCCCATTGGGGCCCTCCCAAGCCTCCTTGGGATTTGTAGGCTCCCCCGGCATCTCCACCGGAGAGAAGAAGGCAAAGGCGCACTCCTCGCTTTCATCTTCCGCATCATCGCCTAGCATGAGAGCCGAACCAGTCAAGGTTGAGTTGGCTGATGCTCCGAGCCGTTCATAGCTCTACCTATTAGGGGGCTGAGTCCTCCTTCTCCCCCTTCCTTCCTCCTCTGCTGCAGGGACTTGAATGCTCTCATGGTGTTGCGGTAAATCTGGTCGGTTCCAACGAGCACTTGTAGCACGAGACGGAAGTGACGGTGCACGCTCATCATCTTGCTGCACCTCCTCCTCCTCCGCATCCCCATTCATTTGAGGAGATTGCCTCGTGATAGTGCTGCTGCTACTCAGCTCCAAGGGCAGCTCCACATGCACCAAGCCGGTACTCTTCACCTCTCCAAGCAGCACACCAATCTTCGCTTGATTTTCCGCCTTCCACTCCTTGTACGGTAAGTTCTCCATGAACTTGCAATCTCTGCTCACCAAGAACTTCTTGGTAAATGGGTCCCAAAGAAGCCATCCCTTGCTGTTTTGAGCCATGCCCAGGTGCACGGCCCATGTTGCCTTGGCATCAAGCTTGTTGTGCCGAAGTTTCTTAGGCACAAGCGCCATGCACATGCACCCGAACACCCGAAGCATATCCACCTTCGGCTCCCTTCCAATCCACTCCACATAGGGCACCCATTTTGTAAGAAATAGAGTTGAAATGATTGATTAGGTAAGGAGCCCAAGGCTCTATAAGTACATGGCAAGGTGAGAGAGAATGGATGAAGGGGGAATTGGAGGGAATCCCCATTGGGATCTCCGGAATCTCCAATTGGGTAATTGGAGATTGTGGGGATCACAATTGGGTGAGGTTGGGATTTGTGAGTACACCCCAACCCACTAGAACATTCATAACCTAAACTAGGATATAAAAGTACAAATACAAAAGTGGTATTTGCAGTCCATTTCTAACACACCCCCATAGACTGCAAACCCGGTCAAGGAGCACATAGCCCCATGGAACGGAGAAGGCGATGGTGGTCAGCCTTGCCGAGAGCCTTGGTAAAGAGGTCGGCGAGGTTGCAATCTGAGGCGATGTACCGTACCGTCAGCTGGTCACTCTGAACAAGATCTCGGATGAAGAAATGACGAAGTTCGATGTGCTTGGTGCGAGAGTGGCACACAAGATCCTTGGTGAGATGAATGGCACTCTGGTTGTCACACCACATGGTGGGCGACTGCTGGGGGTAGCCTAACTCAGCGAGGAGAAAGGAGAGCCAGCGTGCCTCTTGAGCAGCCATTGTGCCTGCGTAGAGCTCGGCCTCGCAGGACGACAGGGAGACTGCAGAGGACCGAGTGGAGCGCCAGCTGATGACTCCGCTACCAAGGGTGAAGCAGTACCCTTGGGAGGAGCGTCTGTCAGTCTGGTCATCGGCCCATGAGGAGTCTGTGTATCCCTCAAGCTTGACTGGAGAGGTACCACCAAGAGTGAGGATGTGAGACTTGGTGGCTTGTAGATAGCGGAGGACCCTCTTGGCTGCAGACCAATGCGAGGCAGTGTAGCGTCCGGGGGAGACGTACCGAGAGAGGACACTAACCGGGTAAGCCAAGTCTGGTTGAGTGCAGATCATGGCATACATGAGTGAGCCCACTAGCTCAGGGTATGGGTCCTTGTAGGCGTCAGGAGAAGGAACTGGAGGGGCCGTGAGCTGATGCTGTAGTGGGAGTGGAGTGGAGACAGAGTTACTGGAGTCCATGTCGAACCGCTTGAGAAGGTTGTCGATGTAGGACTCCTGGGAGAGGGTGATCGTGCAAGCCTGGCGGTCACGAGTGATCTCCATCCCCAGGTAGTTCTTGAGGTCACCAAGATCCTTCATGAGAAGGGCAGAGCTGAGAGCAGACTGGACAGCTGCCATGTCGGCTGGATCTCTGGCGGCTAGAATGAAGTCGTCGACGTAGACGAGGATGTAGAAGGGCTCGGAGGAGTGACGAACGAAGAGACTGGAATCTGAGGCAGAGGGATGGAAGTCAAGTGCGAGGAGGACTTCCTTCACCTTGTTGTGCCACTCACGAGGAGCCTGCTTGAGGCCATACACTGGGCGCTTCAGCTTCCACACTGTGTTGGCAGGGTAAGTGCCAGGAAACCCCGGTGGGCGTTCCATGTGAACATCCTCCTTGAGCTGGCCTTGGAGAAAAGCGGAGGAGGCGTCCATGGACTTGATCTCGAAGTTGCCGCGAGCGGCTATATCAAGAAGAGCGCGCACAGTTGGGAGCTTGGCCGTGGGCGAGAATGTTTCAAAGAAGTCGAGATACTCCTTCTGGGTGAAACCCTTCGCCACGTATCGTGCCTTGAACAGTGGAGCTTTGCCTGGGAGTTGTTTGACTCGGAAGATCCATTTTCCGCCGACGATGTTGACACCGGAAGGGGGAACAACATCGTCAAAGCTGTTGTTGCGAATGAACGCCTCATTCTCCACATCCATTGCTGCCTTCCACTCCTTCTTATAAGGCCCTGAGAGAGCTTCCTCTTTTGTGCGAGGAGTCGGAATGGTCGGGTTCTCGGTGAAGTTGAGGGAAGGGCAGTCAGTAATGTCCGGGAAGATGTGAGAGAGAAATTGGCAGACCGCGTGAAGGTCAAACAGCTCCTCATGCCTGTCCTCCAGAAGTGCACGGGGGGGAATACGGATGGAGGGGGCATCACCCCCGGCAGGAGGAGGCGGGGTGACCGAACACCGGATGGAGAAGGCGGCTGGTCCCCAGGCGAGAGGCGGAGCCGGTCCCTTGGAACGAGTGCGACTAGAGACCGGAGACGAAGGCGGCTGCGGTGGGACCGGAGGGACTGGGCGCCTCCGATAGGAGACTGGTGAGCCGGGCTCGATGCGCGGGGAAGGCGGAGCAAGAGGAGGTGCCGCTGCGGAGGATATTGGGGAGGCCGGGTGAGACACGCTGGACGGAGAAGCCCCCGGAGAAGGGGCAGCGGCCGGAGTTGGGGCATCGAAGTCTGCCCAAACAAGCGTCGGGGGAGGTGGAGGAGGCTCGCCCGTGGTCGCAGAGTGGAATGGGCGTGTCTCATCGAAGACGACATCATGGCTGCGAATCAGCTATCTGGTGATTGGGTTGAGGAATAAGTAGTCTGGGGAGTCGGAGTTGTGCCCCAGGTACATGCAGGTCTGGGTTTTGGGACCAAGCTTGCCACCTTGCTTCCTGC